GCCGTCCGCATGTACCGCCAGGCGAAGGAGCAGTACGGCACCTGGGACATGCTGTGCGGCAACGAGACCCAGGTGAGGGCCTGGCCCCCGCCCAGGGTGGGGTGTCAGTGGGGAGAACAGGCTGAGCAGGGTCCCCAAAGTGTCCCACCTTCGCAGGTGCTGAGCAACCTGGTGATGGAGGAGCTGCTCCCCGAGCTGCGGACCACCATCGGCACCCGGCTGAAGGGCAAAGCGCCGGAGCGCCAGCGGACCTGGATCCAGGTGTGGGACCGGGGCTGGGGGACACACACACGGCATCCATCGCCTGCCCTCCCCCTGCTGCTGCCTCCTCCCTTCCCCACCGGGCTCAGTGCCTGCCTGCTTTCCTGCCTGTCGCAGCCATGTCCCCAGTGTCACCCCCCTCTCCTGGCCCCCGCTGAAGAATTTGTCCTTATTCTCCACTGCAGCTTTGTAAAGCTCCTTGTTGTGCCCCTGCCCGTCCCCTCCTGCGCTGCCGCGTCCCTGGGGCCGGGGAAGCAAACAGGAGGAAGCCCAGCCTTGGAGCAGAGCCTGTCCTGGCTATATTTAGCGAGACATTTTTAGATCAGCGCAGGCTAAATCCAGCCCAGACCCTTGCGAAAGACCAAGGGCTCTTCAAAACTGCCTGTTAAAGTCTTAAAAGCCAATTGATGATTACCACCAGGCTCGTAATGTGCTGCTGGAAGAGCCTAATGCCGCACAAACGCTGCTTTTGCCGGAGCTGTGGGCTTAGCTGCAAAGCTGGGAAGCCCAAGGGAGGGAGAGAGGGGACGGCTCTGCCTCCCACCAGCACTGAAATCACGGTGTTTGGCTGCAAAGTGAGCGTGGAGCCTCAGTGAGCGGCTCTGTCCCACTCATGGGGTTATCTCTGAGGGCAGGCTGAGCAGGGCAGGGCACAGCTTTCAAATGAGGGCAGGGGCTCTCCTGCCCAGACTGCCAGCATCCTCGGACCACCAGCATCCCCGGACCACCAGCATCCCCAGACCACCGGCATCCCTGGACCACCAGCGTCCATGGACATCCAGCATCCCAGACCTGTAGCATCCCCAGACCTGCAGCATCCCAGATCTGTAGCATCCCCAGACCTGCAGCATCCCTGTACCACCAGCATCCCTGAACATCCATCATCCCCAGACCTGCCTAGGCCACCTTGTCTGACAGAGGCAGCACTCAGAGCTGTGCCTTGGGCACCATGTTGAAGCAGCTTCTGCACCGTGGGGGCTTCATCTCACCCAGTTCAGGGGGTCCCTGGTGTCCCAGGTCCAGGCTGTGAGGAGGGGTCCGGTCCCAGCATGGGCAAAGGCTGGGCAGGTCCTGCAGGTAGCTGGTGCTGGAGGCTGTGGCTAGGGGGGGTGGCAGGAGGCATGGGGAGAAGCTGATCCCCCCATCTCTCTCTCGGCAGATCTCAGATGCCGTCTATCGGATGGTCTACGAGCAGACCAAGGCCCAGTACGATGCTGTGATGGCCAAGTGTGAAGAGGAGCGGCCCCAGCTGGAGAGCGCCATCCGCACGGACATGGACCAGATCATCACCTCCAAGGAGCACTTGGCCAGCAAGATCCGAGGTATAGCCCCACAGGGAGATGGAGGGTCGTGGATGTGCGTCGCTGTGTCCGTGAGCGGCTCCTGGCGTGGCATCACCACCAGTGTGGCTGTCCTGGGGCTCAACGTGGCTCCTGCCAGCATGACCTGGGACCCCTGGGGAGATGCCAGCAGTGGCCAGGGTACAGGTCCTGATTGGCATTGTCCCAGGAGATGGGGGACAAGGTGGGCAGTGACCCCCCCCAGGCAAGGCAATGGGGCAGGAAGGGGTTCAGTACAGACCGAGGACCCCTTGCAAGAGCCCCTGGCGTTGTCCTGAAAGTCTGGGAGAGCTGTCCTGGAGGGACCTGGGGAGGGGGGCAGGTCCCCCTCCCTGGGGAGGGTTTAGGACCTCATTTGAAGAGCTGGAAGGGCAGAGGAGGAGCCTCACCGTGCTTATCCCTGCTCTCTGCCCAGCGTTCGTCCTCCCCAAGGCAGAGGTCTGTGTCCGTAACCACGTCCAGCCCTACATCTCCTCCATCCTGGAGGCCCTGATGACCCCCACCAGCCAGGGCTTTGCCGAGGTGCGGGAGGTCTTCTTCAAGGAGGTGACGGACATGAACATGAACATTGTCAATGAAGGTGGCATGGAGAAGCTGGCGGAGGTGAGACCTGGCACTGCTCCTTGCTGGCTTGGGGGTGGTGGGACCAGTCCTGCTGCCGTCCTTGGTGTGGATGGCACTGGGGACCCTGGGCTGGGAAAATCCATGGTGACGAAGCCCATGTGGGGTGGCACGTCCCATCCCTGAGCACATGGAGGGTCCATCCTGCCCTGCTGAGCTTGCGTTTGTCCCCAGTACATGGAGAAGCTCTCCCACCTGGCCTTCCACCCCGTCAAGATGCAGTCGTGCTATGAGAAGATGGACCAGCTCAAACTGGAGGGGCTGCAGCAGCGGTTCGATGTCTCCAGCACGTCCGTCTTCAAGCAGAGGGCCCAGATCCACATGAGACAGGTGAGATGGGGAAGCGGGGTCCCCCCTGTCCTACTGGGGGGAGCGCAGAGGGCTGGGGAGCCCAAGCTGGTCCAGCCCAGGCAGGGATGTGGCTGGGATGTGTGTCCTGTCTCAGGGACCTTTATGTCATTGGCACTCAGCTGAGGGTGTGGGATGCCATCCCTTTGGGTCTGGAGCCCAGGTGGGGGTGGCCCATGGGTAGGTGGCAGGGTGGGACACCCTTCCAGCATGGACTCAGCACCCCAGCTTGGGTGTCACGGCTCAGCTTCCCCTTGGCCACCCAGCCCGCTGGCCCCAGCAAGGCCAGTAGCCCATTTCTGGGGTCTGATCCAGACAAACCTGGAGTGGGGTGTAGAAGGAGGGGGTGCAAACCAGTTTTGGGCACCCCCCCTCCCCCAGCATCCTCCATCCTCAGGGGGGACCCCGTGGGTGCCACGTGGGGATGCTGGGGACCTTGCCAGTGTGACAGCTCAGCTGGGTGTGGCAGTGGCCCTAAAGGGCACCCTGCCCACCCCCTGGTTGGTCCCTTTGGGTGTCCTGTCCCCCCCACCCTGGTGCTGACCGTCTGCCTCTGCTCCCAGCAAATGGACGATGCCGTGTACACCTTCGAGACGCTGCTCCACCAGGAGCTGGGCAAGCTGCAGGGCAAGGACGACCTGTGCAAATCCATCCAGCGCATCCTTGAGAGGGTGCTCAAGGTGAGGGCAGGCGGGTCAGGGCGTTGGTGGCCTTTGGTGGCCTTACCCCAAGGGTCAGAAGCCCAGGGAATTGGCCAGGAGTGACCTTACCCATTTTAACAGACGTCTTCTGGGAAAAAGGAAGAAATGTTTCCCTGTGCGGGGGGTGAGGCAGTGGCCCAGGTTGCCCAGAGGAGCTGTGGATGCCCCATCCCTGGAGGGGTTCAAGGCCAGGCTGTATGAGGCTTTGGGCAACCTGGGCTAGTGGGAGGTGTCCCTGCCCATAGCAGGGGGTGGCACTGGATGATCTCTAAGGTCCCTTCCCACCCAAACCATTCTGTGATTCTGTGAAAAACTTCTTTTTATGGAGTTTTTTTCATGCATTTTGCTGAGATGTGGGGCAGGCAAGTGGGAAATCACCTGGAGGAACCCGATGCCTTGTGTACCGTGCTCTGACCATGTGTAAAAGCCACCTGGGGTTCAGAATGTCCCCAAAACCCTTCTGCAAACAGCGATGGAGGAGCTGGCTCCTGCCTGGGCTCACATGCCTGCAGAGAACGAGGGGCAGAGGAACCTGCTCATGCTTGTGCAAATGGGGTGGG